CAATTCTGGGAACAAGAACAAAACAGGAGATACCACAATCCTAGATTTGAAGTCATATTACAAAGCTACAGTGATAAACACAGCATGGTACTGGCACAAAAATAGATATGAGGATCAATAGAACAGAAAAGAGGATACAGAAACAATCTCGGACATATTCAGCTATTTATCTTTGACAAAGGAGCCAAAAATATAAACTGATGGAAAGATAGCCTCTTTAATAAATGGGGCTGGGAAAGTTGGCTACCCACGTGCAGAAGATTGAATCTAGACCCATATATCTCTCATCATGTATTAAGCTAAAACCAAAAATGGATCAAAGATCTAAATGTAAAAAGCAGAACCAACCTGTTGGAAGATAAAATAGGTAAAATTCTTGAAGTCATAAGCTGAGGAAAAATCTTTCTGAACAGAACACTAATGGCACAAGAAATAGTACCAAGAATCAACACATTGTATCATATAAAACTAAAAAGCTTCTGCACAGCAAAAGAAAGACAAACAAAATGAAAAAATAACCTACAGAATGGGGACAATTTTGCCTCTATCCCTCAGATAGAGGACTAATAACTATAACATATAAACAACTCAAAATTGTAGGCTTTCCAAATAAAACATCCATTAAAAATAAACAAATGAAATTAATTAACACTTTTCAGAGGAATTATAAATGACCACTACATGGAAAAATATTCATCATCTTTGACCACTAGAAAAATGGAAAATAAAACCACACTGATTCCATCTTACTCCAGAAGGAATGGCTATCATCAAGAAATCAAATCATAATCAATGCTTATAATACTGCAGGAGGAAAAAAGAAACTCTCCCACATTGCTGGTGCAAATGTAAACTAGTATAACCACTGTGGAATTCAGTATGAGGATTACTCAAAAACCCAAAACTAGAAATTCCATTTGGCCTAGCTATTCTCCTCCTAGGTCTCTTCCAGAAAGTGTTAAAGTCCTTATGTCACAGTGACACACACATTCATACCTGTTTATGGCAGTACAATCTATAATAATAACTAAATGTAGGAAGCAGCCTATATGCCCATCAACAGATGAATGGATTAAAAAATGTGGTATTTATATACAATGGAGAACCACTCTGCCATACTGAAGGATAAATTAGAATCCTTTGTAGGGAAATGGAGGCACCTTGAGATCATAATGCTAAGTGAAATGAACCAGCTACACAAGCTTAAATATTGCACGGTTTTTCTTACATGAGAAGCCCCCCAAAATACATGAAGACCAAAATGAAAGATAGATAATAGGAAGTAGGCAATAAGAATGAGAAGAGCTTTCTCATATGCAAAGGGGATTAAGAGCTGAAGGGAGGAGCTAGGGAGAAGGGAAATGGACTGAAAAAAATTAAAATGTGACATGTAATTGTACTGACTCCCTTTAAGGAATGTAATCATTATGTTCTGTACGCATGTAGGAACAAAAATGAAAACTGAAGTAAAATGGTGTTTCTATTGTCATTGCCAGTAAAAATATTCTTAGTTATATACATCAGACTTACTGATTTTTGCGTGCGTTGAATTTTTGTCCAGTAATTTTTCTGTCTTCTTAATTCCAAAAGCTTATCCATGGGGTCTCTGTACCTTCCCTGTACACAATTATATGGTGTACAAATAATCTATTCCTTTCAGAATCTATGTGCTCTGTAAGCAGTGACACTGAGCATCCTAATCTTGAGTTTCTTTTAATTGCAATACTTCTGACTTCACTTTTAGTTATGTCATTTGCTATAGCCTTTGTTATAGAGATTTCTTATCAAGTTAAGGAAGTTCTATTTTACTAACCATTTGCTTAACATATTTATCAATGTGAATACTGAATCAGAAGCTTTTTTGTATTTTTTGAATTGTTTGCAAGGTTTTTCGTCCATTAATCTGTTAATATGGTAAACTTTGATATGTATTTCTATTATTAATCTATCCTTTAATTTACAGGAAAATTCTGTGTAATAATGAATTTTAATCTTACAAATTACTTGACTGTACTTGCTAATATTTTATTTATATTTTAATATCTATAACCTAAAGTCAGAAGCACTAGAATGTAATTTTTTCATCCAGATTGAGTATCAAGATTTCAACACTCTCATCAATATATTGGTAGGCTTTCCCTCAACCTCTCTCTCTCTGTGTCTCTCTCTCTCATCTTTGGAACATTTTTAATGGAACTTAATCCATGTCTATATCATAAAGCATCAGAAAGTCACATACAGTAATATTGTTTTCCTTCTCTTCCCTAAATTTGGACACATATGTTATCCAATCCATAAGATCTCTCTTGATACTTTATACCTTATAAAGCCACCGTCATTAACGTGAAGGAAGAATATCCAAAATTACCTCTATGCACTGTTACCCACTGCAGGAACACGCTTAAGGAGCAAAATGGACTAGGGAAAAAATAATCGATAGGAAAAAATGAAAATCAAACTCCGATCTTTTCTTTTTTTTTATTTTAAAGAATAAAAGAAGGATAACATAATAATAGGGGGGACTTAGCAAATTACAGACAAAATGGTAGGAAATTATCAATGGTTATCGTTTTACATATTATTATCTACAAAATAGTTTCTCAGGAAAACAAATAGACAAATAATAGTGAGTTAGAGACAAAAGAGGTAGGAGATTATGAAGAGTTGTTGTGCTATACTTTGGTATCTTCAAAGAGGCTTCTAAAGAAAATAAATAGAGCTATACATGAGTGACCTATTGAAAAATCATTAACTATTCTCAATGGTTGTTGTAGGAAACACATAATAATAAACATACATTATGAAATAGGATAGGAACATTACAAACTTTACACAGTTATGGATAGATTAGTAGGAAAATATCAATGGCTGCTGTAATACATGGTGGTATCTTCAAAGTGTTTTCTCAGGAAGACAGAGATATGCAAGAAGGATCTAATAAGTAGTTACAGCCTAAGGGTTGTCAAAAATAGCATATTACCTCCTCACCAGTGACTCCTTTCACTGAGGTATGATGGCTGGAAGGAAGGCCAGGATTGAAAAGAAGGACCGAGATACTTGCACCTGTGACTAGCAACAGGCTGTTTTCTTGTTCCTCCATAGTCATGATTACCCAGGACTCCTCAATGGAGATGATGGTCCGGCCAGAGGGAGAAGGCAGGCCATGCCCCAAGCCCTCTCATTCCTGCTGGACTAACTGGTAGCATGGGTCTGAGCTCTGGGGCCTCCACCTCAGAGGGCAGACCGATCTCCAGTGGTCTCCTTTGCATGCAGGGCATGGCCCATGGGGCCTCTTAGGGCAGTTCCTCTTGAGCCGATCTTTTCTTTACTGATATAAGGTTTTAAAAGTAAAAAGCACCATCACAGTCTGCACTAAGTGGAAAACAAGTATTCTCCACATGCGAAAGTCTTCCTGACAAAGTATATTTAGAACATACTAGAAAGTTAGACAACTTTCAGAGTTGCACAATTGCCCGTACTGCCTGATCTCAGTCATTTTCTAAGGAGGATAAACCGTTTTCCGCGCCGAGGCTGCAATTTGACGAGCGCTTAGAACTGCACTAAGAGCCATGAGGGCAGCAGGTGGCAGCAGCGCCCACTCAAACAGCTGGAATTGGAGTAGGTCGCGAAGCAGCGGGAGGCCTCTCCCTGGCTGGCTTCTCTAGACAGCTCCTTGTGACTACAATCGCTCGGTTCATAGGTGGAAGGAAAGATAATACAATGCGTAAATCCCACAAACTGATGAAACAGGATTTTTTTGTGTCTTTATAGGAATAAATTGTCATTTATGAGAGGTTGCATCAGCCTTTGGAATTGCTCTTCTTTATTTAAAATTATCAGTGCTTTCATGTCTCCCAGGGTGCTCTCTCTGCGCTCCTCATCTATCTTCATGCTTTCTTTGGGGCCACACTTAAATCTTTCCTTTCTAGAAAAGTTGGTCGTGCTTTTAGATTGTTCAGTACTCTCTGTTAAATAAGAGTAGATAATAATAAAATAATGATGCTAAAACTAATGACCGTTTACTGATTGTGTACTATGTTATAGTCTCTCTTTCAGAAGTTTTACATGTTTTATTTAATCTGCACAATAACTTCATATTACTGTTATCCCCATTTTACAGATGTAGAAATCAAGGTATACAAAGGTCAAGTATCTTGCCTAAGTTCACACAGCTAGTAAGTGGGAAAAGCTGGAAGAACAACACAGACTCTTTGACTTGGCCTCTTTGCCATCATTGCTGGAATGAGGAGGTGTTAGTCAGATAGATGAGGCCTGTGGATATGGAACAGTTTAATTCCACTAGGATCCAGAATGCCTTGAGCTATTTAAAATGCATATATTGTGTTTACAAAACTCCTTTGGAGAAGTGTATCCACAGGTGGAAATTTGAGGCCACTGACAGTTCAACATAGACGATATTGGATACAATAAATCAAGAAGGCAAATCTCAGCTTCTTTGCTTATCTGTGGAAGCTTGATAAATTATATCACCACCTGGAAACTGACTTTCCTCGTGTGTTACATGATGATAACACTTGAATACTCTTATAAATGAGATAACAGAGGACATAATGCACACTAAGTTGGTATTAGTTCATGTCTGCCTCCCTCAATAAATTACATTTCCTAAGGGTAGACTGAGCCTGAAAAGATGAAGAAATAAAGAGTAGTAATTGGACATTTTTAATTTTGTATCTCTCTCAACAGATCCCAAGTAAATATTTAACAAAAGCTTGTGTTACATTGATGAGCAAATAAACAAATTCACAAAAAAATACATAGTCAGTGGATAGTTTACATATGTAGAACTAGAATCTTTCCAAATTGTCAACATACATTTTAGCTGACAAGGGCTGAAGAAACACTGATATCCCCTGGAAATTTATTTATAATTAAATAAGATTAACAGGGGCTTCTCAATTTTTATTTGTGGTGCCATTTTTTATTCTCTAATATACTTGTGTTTGCATTTGTTCAGTAACGCAGTAATTCTCTTCTAGATCAAAAACAGAAGATGCCTGGGTTTTTGCAAAGCCCAATGCCATTCAGGCTGTTGGAGTTATGTCTTTTGGTGAGTACATGGCTTCAAGGGTCCTTTCCCAAGATGCAGTCATCCATGCCATGAAAAAGTACTGTTCCATATTTCTGTCTGGGTAGCAGATCTAAGATGTAGATTTCTTATTAGCAGGATATGGTCTAGTTTGTACCAATGTAAAATTAGGCTCATACTTTTGTCACTCAGCACTTAAATTTGCTTCACTTTGAAGAAATCTATTTCTCTTGCAGAAAATTTATCATGATTATCATGTTTATTTTCTTTTTCTGGGTTTTTTTGTGATTATCTTCTTTCTTAACTTGGAGTTCTAGCCAGTGCTACGAATATCTTCAAAACCTTGTACACAGAGTAGTAGTGTCTAATCCTCTTCTCAAATGTCTAATCCCATCCTATATCCCAGTTGACAAAAAATAATTACGGTATTTTTTAGATTTTTCTTAGTATGGGAAGGGTCACGAGGAGGAAGTTTGGATAAATCTAGTTTATATCAAGTATGACATGAAAGTACCATGTAAGCTTGATGTGAATTTCTCATTCCTTGACAAATTCGACAATTGATTTTCTAACATATTTAGTAAGTTAAGATAGCTGAACTTTATTTGATTGATATTCTGAAGTAACATGTATTTTTAAATTTTCAGAATTAAAAAACTCTGGTACGTGCTTTAATAATGTTTTTTTATTATTATTACAGCATTAATTTGCCACCACAACTGCTTTTTAGTTTACGGTTCCTTGGAAGAACCCACAGTAGCTAAGTGGTCCCGCATCATCCACATGTCCATCTTGGTGTCGGTATTTATCTGTGTGCTCTTTGCTACATGTGGATACCTGACTTTTACTGGCTTCACCCAAGGTAAAAATGAAAGATTCAGTGACATCATATTTTGGTGTTCCAGACATTGGCACGAGTATAACCAGTGTCCTATCATTTTTGATACAAGTGTGTCCAGTCTTCTATTTCAACTAATCCCTCTTCCACCCCTTCTCTACTCTTTCACTTCTTTACTGTTTCATCGCTTTTTCCTTCTTTTCTTTTTTCTTTTTGGTACTGGAAATCAAACTCAGGACCTTGCGCTTGCGAGGCAGGCACTTGTGCCACTGAGCTATATCCACAGCCCACTTTTTCCTTCTTATACTGTTAAATTAATTTTGTACTCCATGTTCTCTTCTTCTATGCTTTCATGGAAATTCTGGTTTCTCTCCCCACTACTCAGCTGCACCTTCATTTTCAAAGGTATCAATGGCCTCCCAATGTTTAGAGCTAGTGGCCTCCATGATGCTGGTTCTCCTGTATCTCTCGGAGTCATTTACCAGTACTGAACATTCTTTGCTCAAACTGTCTTCCCTTAGAAGAAAAAGCACTGCTACATTATTATTGTTATTCTTTCTCTCTGTTAATATTTGTCCTTTCTTTTCTTTCTTTGACTTCTCTAATCCCCCACCCACCCAGATGCTTAGGTCAGGCAAGTTGCCTGCATTTCTGCTGGCAAATTCTCTGGATGTTTTCACCATTTCACCCTAGCCCAGACCTTCCTTTTCATCTCCAGCCTGTGGGACCTTCCTGCTTAACTGCCTCATTCTTGCTTTAATCACAAAACATCATCTTCCCCATAAACCAGTACTTGTGCTCCTTCCTCCTAAACTTCTCTCTTCTTGTATTCATCCAGGCCCAACTACTGAGAGGCCCTCTCTTTTATTGCCTTTGACCCGTTCATTTCGTGGTCTACATTCAGGTTACTCTGATAGCAGGCTAAATTTGGTGATTCATATTTTCACTGCTTTCGAAGTTCTACTATCTCATTTGACCTTCAAACAACCCTTTGAAGGTAAGTGGAATAACTAGTTTTACCTCCTGCTTAAGACACAAAAAGGTGAAGTAGCTTGCCCAGGCTGGCTGCTGACAAACTGGAAAACAAGGATTCTGGCGCCTAAGGCTAATTTTCTTTCCATTCTCTCTGACTCCCCTCTCTCGGCCACCCATGACCTACTCACTCACCATAGCTGTCTCTCAGCCTCTGACTTCTCTTGGCTTCATTTCTTGTGACACCGGGATGCTCTTGGGAGAATGGCTGCCTTGTTTTAAATAGAACTTATAGGTTGCTGTTTTTGTACGTAAGTATTTCTCAGGAAATTAAGAGAAATGGCTTAACAAATGATTAACGTGACACCACTGCGGTCAAAAATACAATACCTGCATATGCCAATCGAGTGCAGTTAAGTGTCCTTGAAAGTCTTGATAAGAACTGCAGTTCAAAACATTGCCATGTATCTTTATTGCTTCATATCTTGCCAAGATGAACGGCCTAAAAGCTCTGCTCTACTGAGGACCTTGGCCTTTAAATGCCACTTTTCTAAGACATAAACCTGTTTTGGGAGTCACACTTTCCCAGTGTTTTTATCACTGATGGTTGCTCAGATAAAATTAAATATTTATCTAACAAAGGGTGTTTGGTGTGGTTTTTGTCGTTGTTGTACCTTTAGCTGTAATTCCCTAAAATACACTTAGGTTTACCCTGAAATAAGCAGACATTGTTTCTCCAAGCCATTTCTCCTTAGGCAAATCTGGTCTTGTTTGTACAAAACACATGCCTCTTTTCTCCTGTGTTTCAGTAGATACATCCTAGCTTGTTCTTGATTTTCCTGGTGACATTTGAAAAGATGCATGGCTATTTATTAGTGAAAGTTTGTGAACAGGGAAGTTCAGTTTTGTTGTGTGTTTTCTTTTCCAGACAACTGGAACTTTTTAATTCAATTTTGAAGCAGTTCTTTGCAGTTCTCTGCAGTTCTCTCTTCACTTTGATGGTATAATCTCCTTCCAGAAATGGACATTAGAAAGTAATGTGCATTTGTTCTAGTTGATAGGGGGGCAGTCATTTAAAGGAAGTCTTAGGAAGAGTCAGGTCATTTAGGCTATTTAGCTACTTAATGAAAAAAATGCAGAGTTATTGTTATGCCCTTTGTAAACAGTATTGTAAAATATGTGACTTTGATCTAATTTTCTATTAAGTTTAATTTTAAAAAGGTGACTGCAACTTTCAAGTTTAAGTATGACATAATCAGGAAATAAACAGGCCAAAATTCTGTGTTTCAACATTAACAAGAGCTTTTATCAGGCATGTCTTCTGTGCCCTCGTTAGATACCTGCATTTCTTTATAGATTTCTAAAAACATAGAGGCTCTAAATAAAAATTAGTTTGAGGTATATAGGGCCCGTTATTTAGTTGGGCACTAATTAAATATATGGTTCTTCTGGCAAACAGCCCTATTTTCACAATTTAGAAACAGTGCGTTTGCAGGTAGGCATATCAGATGATGTAAAAGACAACTTGCGCTTGGAACTCCTTGGGTTGGCTCTGAGTCTGTGAGTTACCCTATAGTGTAATGCAGGAAAGCAGCTGCCCAGATGCACTGCTCTACTCTTCCTTTCTGGATTGCCCTTGATCTAAGAATAGCATTTCAAAGAGAATTTGTTTATTTTAACAAAGTTCTTTATTTTTCAAATAATGCAGTCACTTACCAGAAACAAAGACCAGAAGCAAATTTATATTGCTGATGCACAAAAATTTGGGGAGTTGATTCTGATGTAAGAAGACAATAGCTAAAGTATTTTTAGTAGTTGATATAAATTTGAGGCAAACCTAGCAAAATGAACAGTGAGGAAAACTGTTAGAGTTAAATTTATCTTTGAGTGGAACATATATTAGTTTTAACATCAGTAAATAACTAACTATATGTTTACTGAATACAAAAAGGTTATATTTAAACCAGGCCTATCATCTTAATTAAATAACATAATACTAATAGAGCTTCACTTACATAATAATTAGCATCTCATTTATTAGTACCTCAAATATCCAGTATCTCTTAAATGAATGTATTTTATGTTATTCTCAGGAGATTTATTTGAAAATTATTGCAGAAGTGATGACCTGGTAACTTTTGGGAGGTTTTGCTACGGCGTCACTGTCATCTTGACATATCCAATTGAATGCCTTGTGACGAGAGAGGTAAGCACAGTCTCTCTTCAATACTTTATCCAGGTGATCTCTCCATCACATTTAAAGATGGGAGATTTATGCATATTTCTATTCTTCAAATTCCCAAGCACATAACAAGTGATATAATTCTAAAATTTTCTTTTTCAACCATAAAGGATCAGAATTTAAAGATGAATTTATGATTCAATGTTTGTAATTTTTTCAAGAATTGAATTTGAAAATTATGTTTGGTGGTTTGGTTCATATAATCGTAAACACACATATTTATACAACTATATTCCAAAGTGAATACCTGCCTCCAGTATAGCGAAACTAAGTGATTGACTTCTTTTTAAAGCATTGTTATTAAGAATTAATGTATCAAAATTTAAAGAATGTTTTTGCAAAACTGTGTTCTGTTAAGCTATTTTGTAAGTCAGCATGCGTTAAAGACACCATAGGCCAAATTCTAATTGGTTTTGTTACTTTAAAAAAAATCGTATTCCATGAGAAATATAGTTTAACAGATATATTTCATTTATATATCCATAGAAATGTATTTATACATGTACACTTACACATAACACAAAATAATATATAATGGTTTAAATGTGTAGTCTCTATATATATTTCATTTATAAAATCAGCTCCAGAATGTGTGACATAGTCCACCTGGGTTTGCGGAGAAAGATTAGCTGAAAGAGAACTAGTGCTTTTGGTGTCAAATTGGATGACGCGGCTTGTCAGCAGTGCCTTTGCTGTCAGCTACACACCCACTGTGCTGGTTAACAGGAAACCAAGATCCTGCTTCTTGGTGGTTTTTCAGGGGTCATCCTAAACAGGGCTTAGTCATCGGGTCTGTTCCTAGAGGCTCTTTACACCGTGCACTGTGAATGGGTCTAATGTATGAAGGGAGATGTCTGCAGAGCCCTAGTACACCAAGCCATCAGCAGGCTCTCACGGCAGCCTCATGCCCATTCCCTTCCTAGGTCTGGGGTGAGGAACAGCATAGAGGTGCAGAAGAGAAAACGTTTATTCAGCATCGCATGTGCCCTCTGCAGCGAGTACCTCTTCTCACTGAATGTGTGACTCCCCAGCCACTCTTCTACCCTGACTAGAAAGGAGAAGCAAATGAACTCAGGGTTATTTTTAAAATGTAAGACCTTTCAACTATTTTCTAACTATTGTTAGATGCAGGAAATGGTCTTCTTCCAGTGTCTGCCCAGTGCTTTGGGTTTAGTTCTGATCTGCAGATTGGCAAGAACAGATAGTTCAGTCCGGAACGGTTTCTGGTAAACCGCATGTGCACTGTCTGACTCACGTCACCTGTGAGGCTCCTGTCTTCAGCATTTGCAACTTGAGTTTCCTTTTTAGCTTCCATGACAGGAAGAAAGAACTAAATCAAGAGCTCTGCCATGGTAGCAAATACAGGCAGAAGAATGTCAATTTGTGACAAAATAAAAAAATCAAATAGATCAAATAGAATCTAGAACTAGAAAGAGCTTTGGTTATCTAGATCTACTTCCCCGCCTCGTGCATTAACTTCTTTTCTATTTCCAGTGGGTATATGTGCACACACACAGACACACAGACACACTTTCAGCATAATCACAATCATGTTCACTCTCTGGCAAAATACCCTGATATCTATAAAGGGGATGAAAATGCTGTGTACCCCAATACATATCCCTCAGTAGCCCATCTCACTACATGATTTTTACTTTCATGATCAAATTTTAAAGGTACCTACACAGATTTTAAATAAGATAATATTTGAAGAAGCATTTTAAATTATAATGAGTTAAAGTTATTAGTATCTCCATTAAATCTGTAACAGTCACTGAAACATTTGATTTAAGAGGGTTTTACCCATCCAGGTAAAGAACTTGGAGAGCTGACTTCTTTTTTTTTTTTTTTAATTTTAAAGAGTAAAAGAAGGATAACATAGTAATGGGAGGGGCTTACCAAATTACACAAAAAGTGTAGGACATTATCAATGGTTGTTGTTTTACATATTGTTATCTACAAGATAGTTTCTCAGGAAACCAAATAGACAAATAATAGTGAGTTACACACAAAAGGGGTAGGTTATTATCAATGGTTGTACTGTACTTTGGTATCTTCAAAGTGGCTTCTAAAGAAAATAGAGCTATACATGAGTGACCAATTGACTATTCATTGACTATTCTCAATGGTTGTTGTAGGAAATACATAGTAATAAACATTCATCCATTTACGAAATAGCATAGGAACAATACAAACATTACAGAGTTATGGACAGATTAGTAGGAAAATATCAATGGCTGCTGTAATACATGGTGGTATCTTCAAAGTGGTTTCTCAGGAAGACAGAGATACACAAGAAAGATCTAAGTAGTTACAGCCTAAGGGTTGTGAAAAGTAGCATATTAACTTCTCACCAGTGACTCCTTTCACTGAAGTGTGACAGCTGGAAGGAAGGCCAGGATTGAAAAGAAGGACCGAGAGACTTGCACCTTTGTCTAGCAACAGGCTGTTTTCTTTTTCCTCTATAGTCATGATTACCTGAGGCTCCTCCATGGAGATGACAGTCTGGCCAGAAGGAGAAGGCAGAGTATGCCCCGGTCCCCTTCATTCCTGTTGGACCAACTGGTAGGATGGGTCTGAGCTCTGGGCCCTCCACTTCAGAGGGCAGACCGATCTCCAGTGGTCACCTTTGCATTCAGGACATGGCCCAGGGGGCTTCTTAGGGCAGTTGCTCTTGAGGTGGCCTGGCTTTTAACAGTGGTAGCAGATGAATGCAGTCGTCGACTTCTTGGGGCCCCGGGAATCAGACTTAGGGTCTGTTTCTCTTAGTGCTACAGCAAAAGCAGCTGCTTTTTCTCAGTCTCTGTTTTCTCTCCTCAGCCTTCTCCTTCTCACGGCTATAGAATACTGAGGAGGCAATTCTTACTAACCTCTCATGTGACCCATCTGGGGCGAAAGCCATTTTTTGTAGCTTTTTCTCTCCAGCCTCCCAGCACATTGGGACCCCGCAACCACTTAGTGTCTTCTCCCCAACCATCAGCACAGGCAGCAGGAATCTCGGTGCAGACCTCTCCGGAGCTCCACGCGCTCCTCCACTGCAGCCTGTACTGTCAGGGGAAGAATAGCTTCCAGGGGGTCTCCCGAGATATTGTACAAAGTCCTCCTGGTTTCCAGCTTTGGAACAGCTCTCATGATCCCGGTCAACTACACCTCTGAATCTTCAGGCATAGCCTGTATTCTCGTGTTCTCTGAGTCCTTGTTCAGCAGCTGCTCCTCTGCTGACTCTGGACCTTTCTGGTTCTCAACTGCAGGGGCAAGAGCGACCTGTTATGTGGCATGTTTTCCCAGGGGCTTCTCCATGTCGGGATGATTCACGCACATCCCCGGGCAGGCCTCCATGGCCAGTGCGTGGCAGGCCAATTGTGTCATTGCTTCTCTGTGCCACCTCACATGACTGGGAGGTGGTGGCCAGTTTGTGGGCCGATGCGTGCTAGCGCGCGCTGCTGTGCAGCTTCCCAGGCGCAGCGGCCCACCTCCTGGGCGCCTGTGTGACTAGGGGCCAGCCCAAAGGCTGGGAGAGCTGACTTCTATATGTTCAGTGTCTGACCTTCTCCAACTGTTGCCTGTCTGACCTTTTGCAGGGTCCCCACTCTGTTCAGACTATCTTCTTTTCCTTAACACATACTCTTCCTACTCTTCTCTTTTCTCTTTTCCTCCCTGCTGCCTCAACTTGTAATTCTGCTGCAAATCTTCTTCATATTTCAGTCCTTACCCCAAGCCACAGTAAGGAGACCTGGAAAAGTGAAGCTCCTTGTAATTCTAAATTCTCTGTGCTCTGCCTGTCCTGTCACAAAGTGATGTCTGTGTATTTCTTGAGATTGGTTGTAGACCTCCTCTTAGGATATTAATTCCTGAAAACAGGAACATCTCCTAGGCATTTTCTTTATGCAAGCAGTATCACAGTATGGGATGTACTAAATGGATGACTGGCTGTTGATTGATTGTCTGATTGAAATTCTGATCATCTTTGTTGGGGAAAGGCAAGATAAAATTCACTTAAATTGTGGGACTTAACTTACATAGAATTAATTTTCTTTTAATAAAGCATATTACTACCTTTAACCACTACAATGATTAAAAGCTAATTTGGTAACTTACATCTTCCTTAGAGGTCATTCAAAAAAATCTAAATAATAGTCATACATTATTTTAGTAGTTACCATGTTGAGCTCAAGAAGAAGGATAAGGTGACTTGCCAAGGGCTGTCTTATACTTAAGTCAAACACGGGGGGAACATGCTCTGGGTCTGTAGTCTAACCCAACTAATAGCTCAACAAGTAATATGGATGTGTGTGTCAATGTGTGAGTATTTTGGGATCAAAATTCATAGTAACTTGAAATTTGCTTAATTATCTTATTGGTGATATTTGATATAGTCCTAAGTGTTATTATGAAATACCCTGTCAATAAATCCTGCATTCCTCAATAGTAACTTTCAAAATAATCTGTTTATTTGGTAGGTAATTGCCAATGTGTTTTTTGGTGGGAATCTTTCATCAGTGTTCCACATTGTTATAACAATGGTGATCATTACTGTAGCCACGCTGGTGTCGTTGCTGATTGACTGCCTTGGAATAGTTTTAGAACTCAATGTAAGTACATTTGAATATTTACTCCTTCATTTTAAAAATTTCTTTAATGTTTCCATTTAATATAAGATATATTTTCCTTAATAAAAGTGTCACTTCTAAAGTGAAATTAAAATGTGTTTGTAATACAATAGCAATAGCATTGTATTAAAATTAAATTGTATTAATAAAATTGTATTGTGAAATTAAAATGTGTTTGTAATACAATAGCATTTTTAATGATGATACTCTGCACTTACAGGACTGTACATTTTCTTTAAAGCAGTGGTTCTCAAATACAGGTGGATGGGGAGCTCTTCCTTCCCCAGGGGATATTTGACAGTGTTTGGAGACATATTTGGTTGCATAACTGGGCTGGTAGTGCTATTGACACCTAGCTGGAAGAGGCTGGGGGCACTGCCAACATCCCCCAGTGCATAGAACAACCTCTCATAATAAATAATATCTGATCTGAAAAGTACCAATACTGCCAAGGTTGCATAGCTCACTACTGTAATATATAGATATTTCTAAAAATATTCATAAATAAAAGAGATCTGGAAATTTCTTTGCTGACTAAAAATATGTCTAATGAGATTCATGGCCCAATTTTCTTTTTCTTTAAATACTTCATTCTCTGGACTTTTCTTTTATAGCCTCTAATGCCACAACCCAAATCTAAGTTTCCATCATATCACATTTTAACTGATCTTGGTTATACTGCTGTTGTTTTTTGTTTTTTTTTTTTTTCCTTTCTGTTTCAACTACCACATAGTTGAGTTCTCTTTTCAATTAATCAGCATCCTGCCCCATAAAATGCCATTTTCCTCTCAGAGTAAGTGTCAGCTCTGTTGCTGTAATAACCTGACCCATATCTTTAAGGAACAATTTCTCATTTACTTCCCAAATCTATCCAAACTTTAGTAAATCTTATTTTGGACCTATAAACACACTTTTCCAAGTCTTTCTTTATCTTTTTATCTTAGCTATTTTTCCTTTCTTTTAATAATTATTTTTCTTTCATTTCTATCAAAATATTACAAAGACCTTGTAGTCTGGTACAACTTCTATTTTATTTATTCATTAATTATATATTTATTAATTACTCTGTGCCACACAATAGACATATAATAATGGAAGGAAATCAGAAAGGATCTATGATTTCTCACAAACATAAAAGTCCAGCTGCTATACAGGTTGTAAAAGAAGACAGAAAGAAGTAGATTGGCTCCCAAGAGATTTTTGGGGGGAAAAAAAAATGACACTATTTGTTGACAGAGTCAATTAGGAGAAGAGAAGGATAAAGGAGCACCCTAAGAATGAGTGCTTGGCTCCATTTTCTGAAACTAGGAGAATGGTAGCATTTGGGGAGACAGGAGTTGAGCTAAATCAGCCACTACCAGATCATGACAATCCTTACAGAATTTCTCATCGGAATCACAACATTTAGCATTATTGGCCATTTATCACAGAGAGAACTAACTTTTAGAGCTAAGATCCCAAGTCTGCATTGAGAGTTCAGGGATAAATGAAAGTGTTATTGTCAGTGGCCACGTCACTATTCCTTCCAGATGCCATTTTGATTTGAAATTCCAGATAAAGGCAGTAGGAGATCCAGTCAAGAACATACTACTGGGTATTTTCTTGTTGCACAGTTAATGGAAAATGGAAAATATGCATCTTTCTAAAACTGCAGGTGACTAGGAAATTATTCTCTATTCCACTTATACTGAAAAAAAAAAAAAAACCCAAATATGGTGGTGTTTGCCTACAGTTATAGCTTGAGGAAGGAGGATCACATGAGCCCAGGGGCTCAAGGCCAGCTTGGGCAACGTGGTGAGACCCCATCTCTGGGAGAAAAAATCTTACACAAGGGGTCGACAAATGTCAAAGGGAATTTCAACCTACTTCTTATTTTGCACAGGACAAAGGAGAGTAGGACTGCTCAAAATAATTTCGTGTGGCAACCTTGATTTGTGTAAATAAATCACTGATGCAATAACTTGATTTATATATTATCTCATGCTGTGTACTGTTTGAATTATTTATAAGTTTGAGTTACCTACCAAATTGTACGATCTTCAAAGACAAGAATATTTAACCACCTTCTCCATCTTCCACCACATCTTGTGCGGGGATAAGGACAATGTGCTCAAATTACTACATGAGTGTTCTTGAGACTACAGTTCAGGACCTATTTCTGCAAATATTCCTTAACATAAGAGATGTCCTTTTTAAAATTTTTATTAGTACATGTTTGCAATACATACTGAGTACATTCATCTTGGGAGTAGGCACACGTACATAATATATCTTAATTCTTTCATTCCACTTTATCCCTCCTCTCTCCGTCAGAAGAGACATTCTTTGGCATAGCACCAGGAAATTGTTACAGAAAAGTGTTGATACTGACAATAGTTGTAATCTTTCAAGTATGCTATAGAGAGGATCCACACAATCATCCCTGGCCCTGTTTATAAAATCTCTCTATATTATAAATGTTTGTAAAATGTCTCGTTGAATCTACACATTTCATTTGCTTGTTGAATGTTGTAAGATTTTGTTCTGAGAGCAAATGTGCTTATCAGCTGCCTGAATGTACACCACATCTTGATAGCCTGAGAAGTTTTTGGTTCATTCTAAGCTCATATTGCTCATTTTTAAAGAATGATATATCTCTGTAAAATTGACCACTATTTTCTATAGAACTAATGGTTAATCTCTATGATGCATGTGCAACATAATTGTAAGCACACGTACACTAACTAGTCCCTATTTTACTTATATTGAAAATGTTCTGTGATTAATAGGATCCTGGGCATTATAACAAGAGAAAATTACTTCGTGAACATTTATCTATTAAAAAATCAAGATATGAGCAGGATGTGAAGGATTGTTTTTAATATTTAAAACATACTTCAAGACATTTATGTTTTTTAGAACTTGCTTAAATAGACACATACACAAAACGGTTAAGGAAGAGCGCTACATTGCCTATTAGGATTTAATAACCCCAGACAGTTGCACTAGTTTTAAGCACTTTATGGGAATTAATGAAGTCTGGGCCCCCCCTTCCATAAAAACTACCATAGAATACACATTTCCCCTATCATTAACAGTCTTTTGGTATGGCACACTCATGTCTTTACCCAGCTCTTGTTTGTGTGGACACTTACCATGTCCAGTAGAGCCCAGTGGAGCATTATTTTTGTCAGTAACTAATACACGATGGAGCATGCTACATACTAGAAGCCAGTAAAGCATGCTGTGTTCCACTTCATGGTGAAAATATGGGAGAACATTTATTTATACGGTGGTAAGTATTTTGCATGCATTATCTTTCTTAATCCAGGTTAACTTCACAGACAAAGAAACAAAGGCCCCATGATTAAATAAACAATCTGAGGTCATACTAGTTGTAGGTATTTGGGTCCTCTGGCCCACATTTTTAAGCATTGTAGTAGTCTGAGATTTCCTAGGTCTGAGGGGTTAAATTACATGAAGTAATTCTGCTCTTCTACTTACTTTTTTATTTTAAAGAGAAAAAATAAATAAATAACAACAATGAAGACAAAAACAATAAAAATGATACAGGATTTCAAAACAAGATGCTAGGAATTAACAACAGTTGTTATATTACATATCATTATCTTCAACGAAGTTGATCAGATTACCAGATATAAGAATGCAAGATTGATCAAACAATTAAAGACAATAACAAGTAATAAAAAGCATTAGAAATGATAAGACATTCATTAAACAAGATGGTAGCGATTCAACAATGCTTGTTAGATTGCATATTGTTGTCTTCAAATTAGTTGTTCTGATTACCAGATATAAGCATGCAAAATTGGTCAAGAAAAAAAAAATTTAATCATTAGCTCTTTCTTTCAATAAACGAATAGACCTTACAATTAAAAATCTATGTGCATTGAATTTATCTCTAATGTTAAGACTAATCCATAATATATAGGAGTAGATTTTAATAATGGATTAAATACCAAGAAATTAAATAAAATGAAGCTAAATTTTTTGTCTTAATTTTTAATCGATAGCTTTCATTCTAGTTAGTTGTGGGAGAGGTACTGGGATTAAACACGGACACTCCTCATGTTAGTTAATCATTGTAGTATTTTAGGGATTTTTTTTCTGTTTTTTTGTTGTTGTTGTTATTTTGTTTGTTTGTTTGTTTTTCCAGTACTGGGAATCGAACTCACGACCTTGTGCTTGCCAGGCAGGCGCTGTGCCGCTGAGCTAAATCCCCAGCCATTTTTTCTGTTTTAGTTTCTGAATTGTCACTGAGAAGAACAATGACCTTCACAGATGTGATGTATAGATCCAATCTTGCAAGGAAATGCTGTCAGCAGTAGGGAAATGCTGTCATTTTGTAACACTAAAGAATATAAATTATTTGGGTTCATAGTATTCAATAAAATTAAAACATCACTTAAATTTTTCCTTTAATTTCACTATTTTCATGGCAATATAGCACCATGAAATATTTTTCCAAAACCAACCATCCTCAATCTTAAATGATTCATTTTAAAAGCTAACAAAATAAATATAAGTCCCATTCTTGGGCACCTTGGCAGGGATGCTTCTATTGGAGAAAAGAGGCATCTGCAGTAATTGGGCCCTATGGGTTGCAACTTGCAGCAGCACAAAGAGGAAAAATGAAACAGCTGGTGCCTGTGGCAAGAGGAGACAGCCCCACAAGGGCTGTGTGCATTTGCGTGGAGGGAAGGAAGCGAGCCAAACGCAGTGAGAGCCCAGTCACAGAAACGCAGTCACCAGGGTGAGCGAGCTGCAGTCCACATTGCCAAAGACATCCTGAGCTAGAGAGAGGGTCTTCATTTTTATGATATAGGAATAAATTTCATGTGTCTGAACTGATTACAAAGTAGAAATTTAAAAGATGTATAAGCACCCTTTTAGTTTTCACCATCCTTGAGAGGTTTTTATTCAGGCAAGAGCATTCAGACACTTTCCAAACAGCATTGCTAGTAAAAATCTTCAACACCTTGTGTTCTTTCTCTATTGCAAATGCGGAATGTCCTGGCATTCGTGGTGTTATTGTGAATGAATAGCATTATCTTGTCCTTATGAATAGGATCATATTTTACTGTGTTTTTAATAAGCAGTTATGGTTTCATGACCAGTCCTCTAATTTAAAATAAATCATTTCAAAGCCAGTGGTGAATCCTCAGATAGGCCTACATTAAATAGATGAGCCAAGATGGACTAATTTATAGAGGATAGATCAGATGGAATTATGCTGTCATTTTTTTTAATAATCTTCAATCTTTGCAATGACCTTTGTCAAAACTAAGCTTTTAGATATCTGGAAAGTAACTGGTATCTGTTCAAGATAATCAACTGGGCTTCCTTCAGTACAAACGTCAGCCATGTAGTTTTCCCTCTAATTGTTATTTTCTGAACCCTTGAGAATTACAATATAAACAGAACACCCATTACATTGTGCTGCCCAGAAAGTTAGATTGAAAGAGTTCCAAAGGGCCGACTGATGACAGCTTCTTATCAGCAGCTAGTGGCTGTTTTCATCCTGATAGCACCTTTCATCTGCAGCTCAGAAGGATTTAGCTCATGTGTTTGTTTTTTGTTTTTTGGGTTTTTGGTACCAGAAATTGAACTCAGGACCTTGCTCTTGCCAGGCAGGCATTTGTGCCAGTGAGCTGTATCTCCAATCCTTAGCTCACATGTTTGTTCCTACAGAGGAAGAGACTATAGAGCAAAACCAGTACACACATATACTTGAACTGTTTTGTTTTCAGAAATAATTACTTTAAAGAAATCAAAGAGTAATATTTTAATTAAAAATACAGATTGATGTCTATAGTATTTTTTATAATTTAAAAAATTGTGACAGAATCTACAGAATCCATAACTGATTTAATTCCAGTCACAACTAATCTCTATTTATTATACATTTTTGTAGGTAATCATTTCTATTCAGGTGCTGTGCATGGAAAAAGTATTTTTTCTATATATTTTAAATTAGAATGCAAAAGCAGTAACAAGTAGTATTTTCTTATTTTTATATCTCTTCCTGTGAAAAATATTTCAGGCAGTGTGCTCCCTACTATGTGTCTTCAAATTTTTAGAAACTGCCTCATTTATTTGAGTTCACAATAGAAAATTTAATTGTCATTTCTCTGGAGTCTTTTCCTTTTTTATAAAAAAGAATAAAAAGACATATTATTGAAATTTTAGTGGTAATATTTCTGGTTTGGGGTTGGCACTTCATATGAAACAAAAATAACTTTATTAGTGATATTGTCAAAATAATTATTTTGAATATTTCAGGTGTGATTTGTTATTTTTACATCATGCAACTTCAAGTTTAGTTTGCTTTGATTGATCCTGGGAAAATCTACAAAACTTATGTGTCAACAGTTTGTAAACTGTAGGTGACAGATTTACACAGTTTCATTATACCATTCTTATATATATATATATAAATCTGCATAATAACCTTTTAAAATATAGAAAACTTATTTAATGGAAACAAATTTAATTGTGAATCAGTATCACATTTCCTATTTTCTGTATTTTTTTTTTATTTTTTTGGTTTTTTTGGTTTTTCTCTGGTACTAGAAATTGAACTCCTGACCTCGCACTTGCCAGGCAGGAGCTGTGCAGCTAAGCTAAATCCCCAGCCCCTTCACTGTATGTTTAAAAACTTAATTTTATGGTTTAAGAGAATACTATTTGTGATATATCACACTAACAGAATGAAACATAATAACTATATGATCATTTTAGTTGATAGAAAAAGAGCATTTGACAATGTTCAGCATCAATTCTTTATAAAAACTGTTAACATTTTAGGCATAGAAGTAAAGTTCCTCCACATAATAAAGTCTATTTATGAAAAGTCCACAGCTAACATCATAATCAATGGGAAATAACTAAAAGCTTTGCCACTAAGATCCAGTATACTAGGAACACCTACTTTCACTACTTCTACTCTATATATTACTAGAAGTATTAGCAAGAGCAATCAGACAAGAAAAAGAAATAAAATATACCTGAATTAGGAAGAAAGAAGTAAAACTATCTCTATTTGCAAATGACAACCCTATATGTACCAAAAAAGTGATTACACACACACACATATGCGAGCGTGTGTGTGCACACACACAACACTGTTAGAGTGAATAAGTATATTAGCAAATATGAAAGACTAAAAACCAATATATAAAAATCAGTAACACACTGATTATTGTGTGTAGTTAGTATTTGGTATAGATATAAAAATCAGTAATATATTATAGATTATGAAAAACATTGCTGAGGTTTCTAAAGAAATTAAAGACAAAACTACTATATGATCCAGTCATTTTATTCTGGGCTTTTATACCGAAAGGACAGGAAATTTCAGAGTCATGTCCACAGTGATGAAGAAGGAAGCCTAGGACAGAGGAGGCACAGCACAAGCAATAATATTTAAAAGATTTAAAGACAACAAAGTAGAGCGCCCCTAGCCAGAAAGGTGTTCTGAGTGGGATACCCCCAAAGACCATTTGCCTAAGGGTGTAAGGGATTTAGAGGGAAGCTCAGGGTGTTGTGCAAGTGCTACAATCTGTATCTGTTAGGAGACTACCTACTTTTTTGGGGTCCAATCTATGGAATGTTTACAGTGCCCACACAAGACCCATGCACCCTTGAGCCAATTGCCTGCCTAGTCACATCCTGTCATGGTCTGGAGAAGACAGTGACAGCTTCAGGACATCTGGCAGATGTTTTTGTGAGATCCCTTGAGGGTAATAACTCAGCACACTCCATTTTGGGCTTCCTGATTCCATGTTAGGGTCACTGTCCTTAATGCCTAGTAGCATCCTAAATCTTATCTCAAAATCTTCTAAAGATATCTAGACTCCCACATTCACTGAAACATTACTTACAATAGCCAAGACATGGCAACAACCTAAGGGTCCATCAGTGGATGAATAAATAAAGAAAATGTGGCATATATACACACCAGGATGCTATTCAGCCTCAAGAGGGAAATCCTGCCATTTGCTACAACTTGAGTAAACATTATGCTGAATAAAACAGAAAGAAACACTACGTGATCTCACTTGTGTGTGGAATCTTAAAGAGGGGGTTGTATAAACAGAGACAAGGAACAAAATGATGGTTATCAGAGGTGGAAGAGTAGTGAGGAAATATATGTAGGTCAAGGTACATAAAGCTGTAGATAAGTAGGATGAACAACTCTAAAGACCTAACATAGCAAAAGGACTATAAGTTTAAGTACAATGTAAGTTCATAAATTTGTATTATATTGGGGATTTTTAATAAATCAGACCTGCATGTGCAAGCACTGCATTGTCTCACTAGCGTAAAACCTGAAAGAGTTAATTTAAACTCGGAGGTATGACAGACATTGTGAAATGATAGGAAAACATTCAAGGGTAAAGGGCAACTGGGATGTGGGAAAAGAGAAGGGAAAGAAGGAGAAATTTTGTATGTATGTATATACAGGATAGTTAACATGGTTGTTCTACTGTCCTCTATTTCTTTGCTCAGAGAAACTGTCAATGAGTCCTTGATTGATCAATATTGTATGTCTCTATCTGTTTTCATGAGAAACCACTTTGAAGATATCAATATGTAATAGAACAAACATTGTTAATTTCCTACCACTTTGTTTGTAACTCTGTATTGTCCGTACTGTTCTTTTGCTATTTAAAAAATATATATATTTGGTATTTTTTGTTAAATAAGTAGATTTTAGATGTTCTTGTCAAGCACACAAAAAACTACATGAGATGATAGGTGAATTTGCTTCACTGTACTAACCATTTCACTATTCATATGTACCCCAGAAAACGTTGCATGTACACAAAAAAATTTTAAAGAAAATGTACATCTTATAGAATAGGAAAATAACATTTATTATAAAATTTTAATATATTTTATTAATGTTATGGCTCATTTGATATTTAGTATGCAATATAATTAACATGACATAATTAGAAAAATATATTACTTAAAATACCTTAAATTTTAACATGTACTTACTTGTAAAGTATCTGTTGAGAATTTGGCCTAAAAAGAAGAAAGCCTTTTTTCCTTTGAAAGCAATAGTGGTTGATAATTTTTATAATAGAAAACTCTACTACTCATTATTTTCAATCTGACATTTCCCCGGAGGTTGAATCCATCCATGGCTGATGTAGGGGGAGGTGCGCAAGTTATAATCATTTCATTCTGCTGTCAATTTTGGGGATCAAATAATGTGTTTAATTTTACTTGAAAGAGGATTTAGAAATGCCATTTCACAGTACATTCCCTGAAGGTTATAATTTTCACAGTCAAGGTCTGTTTTCATACAAACTCTAAAAGAAAAGCAGTTATGCCCACAAAAATTTTCCAAGGTCCCCATTTATACACAATTGACAAATAAACCAATGAAGTTTGTTTTCACACAATTGATAGACAGGGAGACTAAGTGAAGAGAAGGAAATATAGGCTGTGACTCAAAAATGGAAGATGACTTTTGCCAGAAGTTACTCTTACTACCTACTTTGTTATATTATTCTCAGATCATCTCAGATCATATCTTCTGTATTTTTTATTGTTCTACTTTATTCATTTGTAAATATTCCCTTAGAAAAGGGAAAGCCTGTTTCTCAGTCTCAAAATTATTTTCCTTTCCTTTGTTTGATTCAATTGAACCCATCAAACTTTTAATATATGCAGTGAAAAAGTTTTGTAAATGATTAAGACAAAGCTGTTCAAAAGCGCTTCCGCCCAGTAACGCTATTTTATTTCAATACACAGGGTGCACTCTGCGCCGCGCCCCTGATTTTCATCATCCCGTCAGCGTGTTATCTGAAACTGTCTGAAGAACCAAGGACACACTTAGATAAGATCATGTCCTGTGTCCTGCTGCCCGTTGGAGCTGTGGTGATGGTTTTTGGATTCGTCATGGCGATCACAAATCCTCAGGACTGTACTCACGGGCAGGAAATGTTCTACTGCCTTTCTAACAATTTCTCCCTCACAAACGCCTCAGATTCTTATTTTCAACTGACAACACAATATTCCCTCCTAAACACCAGTACCTTTCAGTGAGCTTACTGCCTTAAAAATACGCATGTTTCCATAGACTTGTAAGTCACCTAATAATACTCACGTGTTCTAGTCTCTCTGTTATAAAGTTTTCAGTTTGGCACTTACCAAGACTTGCTTTCTTCGCTGTTTAGTGCAAAGTAAAAGTTAAAGAAAAAAAAAAAGAATGCGTTTTATCTTCAGCTAGGACAAATGTTTTGTTCTAATGGCTGCTCCGAACTAACACTCGTTGAAGAAGGAAAAGTGAAGCCTTTAGCATTGGCTGCCATTTCCCCTTTTATTTAATAAGTAGGTGATTATGGGTTGAAGTTTTCTGTATGTGTCCTTCTAGAGAAAAAAAAAAAAAAAAACAGCTTTAAAGTCTATAGAATTGGTTGGAGAGGGAAACCCAAAAGTATTACAAAAAGTAGCTATCCCAAGAGCAAAAAGAAACTGTCTATTATAATTTCAGTAGCATCCCTTATTTAGGGAAAAGGGGATCCCTGGAGAAATGAGAAAGTCCTACAGAGGGTAAGAAGCATGAATAATAAACTGAACGTGCAGAATAAGGTGTGTGAGGAATCAAAAGGGCCATACTATTATAAAACAGAAAACACACTATTGCTCTGAGACTTGAACCTAAAAGATGAGTTCCGCATCAAATTTGGACCCACTGAATTTCCAGTGCTAGCAAGAACACACAAGCAGAAGCTGAGCTTTGAGACTAGAAGCTTGCGACCACAATCGGGGCTACTCCAGAGGCGTTCTCAATCCTGCGGGGCCTCTGGGGAGGGACGCTGGGAGCGATTACTGACTGGGTTCTTTGGACGCAGATGCTGAAGTGGAGTTTGTCATGCAGGGCATTTATGAAAAGTTTTGAAAGTGGGAGACAGGGAAGAAACCAGGATTGGGAAAGAGAAGTGGAACTGCGGTACCAGAGAAGGAAGCTGCCGCCAACTCCACACGGAGCCCAGAGCACATAGGGTCATCGGAGTCGACCCTATTCAGAGGAAACTGCCAAATTTAATACTGCGGCTTCCATCAGTCACTGAATGTGGGCACCTGGGGTAGGACGAGCTCTTGGGGAAGGCAGCTCTCTGCAGCTGAGCAAACCCTACAGGAAGTGAGAGCTAGAAACCAGCGGTCTGCTGATGGCTGGGCACTGCACACTTCCTTGGAGGGAGAGCTGAGAGGCATCGCTGTGTCCCCTGCAGAGGCCCTCAATTTTTCACAAGGAGTTCTATGCCTTTGCACAAAGAAGTCACATCTTTGTATCTATGGCAATGCTTAAAATGTAACAAAGAAAAAAATGGGACCATCTGAGTAGTTTCCTTTTATCAAGCGCCATCCAGGACTGAATTTCTAACCTTTTATTTGTATTTCAATCAGGTTGACATTCTTCTGTGGCTCTACATTGTTGCAAAATGAGAAAATATCACAGGCAGAGTTCATACATACATAATTTGTTTGTACAACTCACAGGCAAAACCAAATCCCACAGGATGTATATTAAAAATAGTTTCACAGCAGTGTGAAGAAAGCAGCGAGGATTGAGTTATCACATTACTCCTGGTAGAAAGGCCTAAAAATTACCAAGGAACCTGAGCCATAGGAGCCTCAGAGAAGTGGTGACATCTGCTTCCCTAAAATATCACCCTTCCCACTAAATTAACTTCTGCCGCCTGAACAGTTTCTACGAATTATAACTTGGAAATTTGTTTCTTACCACTGTTTAAAAGTCGTAAGTCTGAGCATTTTGTGGCTATTTTTAGATTAGTACATGGTTAGACAAAATAATTATAAAAAATGCTTTCATTCTAGAGCGAGGGAATGTTCGGAGTTTTTTGCAGCAGTTTATCCCTGCATTACTCGAGACTGAGAAACACTGACCTACATAGCCGCTAGATAAAGACGGGAGGGATGAGATTTCCAAGAGCAGACAAAGAGAAGTACGTCAAGGGTAACGTAATTTAGCCTTATCCATCTATTATTTGTACTTCAGATATTGTCTCAGACATGTTCACTTTGCATCTTCAAGTAGGTGAGAAGTTTCTCATGGGATTGAGATGCAGCAGTAGTAATATTTGTTTGCAGTGAGTCACCTGTAGAACACGACTGCCTTTAGCCCGGCTACCAAGTGCATGGATCACCAACATCTTGCAAGTTATGACTGAATAAATCTTAGGATATCACGACTATTTTGCAAGAATGCTTTTCTGTTTATTTTGTCATTGTGGAGAACAAAGTGATGGCAAAATAAATCTTCCTCCTCTATTTGTTTTCTGTCTCAATTTAATAAGAGGGTTTTTTTCCCTGCTATTTCTTAGTTCATTTGTTTGTTTGTTTTTGAGACAGGGTCTCACTGTGTCATACAGAATGGCCTTGAACTCACCTGTGTAGCCCAGGCTAGCCTTCAACTCTCACCGATCCTCCTGCCTCAGCCTCCTGAGTGCTGGGATTACAGGTGCACGCCACTGCGTATGGCTATTCTTTCCTGCGATTTCTTATCCCTAACAAAGAAACTTGAGGTTTTACACCAGCTTTTGAAGCTGTCATTATCTTTAAGCTTATTCAGTATTTCACAATTTTTAAAAGGTGGTTTGGAAAGCAACAGTGTCTGGACGTTGTAATGGAAACACCTAGGAATACCTTTCCTTCAAGAATAGAAGTTGGAGGATGTCTTACATACTTTTGGAACTGGGTTCTTGTTAACTTAGAATCTTTAATTTCAACCATTTCTTGAACCATCTTCAAAAATCAGAATGGGGATAAGGGATAAAACTCAGTGGTAGAATGGTTGCCTAGGATGTGCAGGTCCTGGGTTTGATCCCTAGCACTACACACACACACACACACACACACACACACACACACACACACACACACCCCAGAAGGAGCAAATGTCCTTGCCTTTATCAAGCAGCACTTACTGCCTTTTGTCTTTCCTAAAAAGAGTCTGAATCCAGGTCATCCACTTAGGAAAACCCTAACTAATCATCTGTGAAAATCAAACTATGCATGTTCATATCAATAAGACCAATTTCTTGGACAGGCGCAGGCCTCCTTCTGGTTTATCTGCTCTGACCATACTCAGGAAAGCAGCTCTCATCTGTTTTTAATGAGGGGTAGCCCCTGGTTGGACCAGGTGTTTTCACCAGTCCGAGAGTACTTTAGGCATGGTCCTGCAAGTGGCCACGAGGCAGGCTGCCTATATGTGCTTCATGGGTTGTGGCAGGATAATGATTAGCTACACCAGTTGGATAAACTCCTTAAAGAATTTATACTTATTCTAGAAAGGGTACAGAGCTGGGTGGGGTGGTGCATATCTGTACAGGAGGCTGAGTCAGGACGATGATGAGTTCAGGACGATGATGCCTGGGCGGCACAGTGCATGCAAGCCTAGCCAGGTCTGCAGTGCAAGATCCTGTCTCAAACAAACAGAAACATATAATTTACTGGGATAACAGAACAATTATGCAAAGTGGACCAGAGATAGCATAAGCTCAGGAACGCATAGGCCTAAAGGGAAAGAATAGTTTATTCTTCAGGGTAGTAGTTTTCAAGCTTCAGTGTGCAGCAGAATAACTTGTAGGATATGAAAAGACACAGATATCCAGGCCTTCCTCCAAGAATTTCTGGCTGAGTACCCCAGAGAAGGGCCTGAGAATTTGCATCTCTGAGAAGTCCTTGGAGCTGCTGCTGCTATTGGTTCCAGGGTCACACTCTAATAAAATTTGGAGGCTGGACACAGTGAAGCAATGGATGAGGACTCAGCTTAGAGGCTCGGGCAAAATACAAACAAGATGTAGGAAGGGAGGGGAGAAGAATTAAGAACAAAAGAGAAAACAGATATTACAACCTAAAGTCAACACAGCTGTGGTCCTCAGGCAGCAAGCCTGGTCCCAGCCTGCCTGCGTTCAGGGAAGACTGTCTGAGCTTTACAGCCTCCTGGCGAGAAAGAAGAAAATACAACAGCCCTCAAAAGTACGTCAGCTACAATCAAATCTAATTATATACATATATGAAAAAGTCAGAATGAAACATTATTTTGTATAATTGATATGCACTAATAATTATAATGTTTCCTTTTTGTCCTTTTTCTTTTTTTTTTTTTTTTTTTTTTTTTTTTTTTTTTTTTTTTGGTCTTTTTGAGACCGAGTCTCACTGTGCTGCTCACACTGGTCATGAACTCACTTTATAGCCAAGTTGGCCTCAAACCCATGACGATCCCCCTGCCTCAGCCTCCCAAGTGCTGGGATTACAGGCTTGCACCACCATACCCAGTTTAATAATTCTGATAAAAATAAACTTTAGAGAGAAAAAAGAAACAGAAACAGCAAATTAAAGCCAGTAAACTGAAAGAAAAATTAATTATAAAAAAGCTGAATTTATAAATCCATGATATAAAATAGAAATAATAAAGTCAATTAAACTCAAAGCTACTTCTTTAAGATATATGTCAAACTTATCAAATTCTACACTTTTATGCCAGTTAATAAACTTGTTAAAAATATTTTTCAAAGTACCTCAGGTTTTCTGAGGACAGTGTCTTACTTGTAATATTACGTACAGAACATGAATAAAAGTAGGTTATAAATAACGTTCACAATGTCCTTGATAACATCACCCATATAAAGAGATCCTTCTGTCCTCTCTTGTAAGACATTTCACCATTCCATTCATGTTCACTCATTCATAAAGATTCCTGATATGTTTAGCTTTGATATTTTCATTATATTACTCATTTATGCAATCTGTACGTGCTCCCTTAAAACAAAAACAAGCAAACACTAGGTTTAGCCTGTCCTTGAATCCTAACTCTCATTTGATTCTGGCCCTTACCAGCCCACAGCCAGACTAACCTCTAGCCTGAGCAATGTGCCTTTCGGTTCTTCCCACCAAGACAATTTGTCTGTCACTACAAGAATCACTTTATTAAATCAATGCTTTGAAAGCATCACTTGCTTGCTCTAAAGCTTTCCAAGAAATTTTTGCACTTGTAGGATAAAACACAAACTTTGCAGCCTATATTCAAACCTTTCATAGTTTAGCCTCAACATGCTGGTCTGGGATGTTACTGCGGAAGAAGCCGTGTAACCAAAGGAAGCATTTCTTCACCCTGAAAATGCTCTGTGCACCTTCACCTTTGTCCCTGAATCCTTGGCATTCTCTCATGTGAAATGCC